GTTTCGGCAAAGTCACGTGGGTAGAAAAAATAAAATAAAACAAATCACGACGTTTCGATCGCAACACAAGCGGTCGTCATCAGGCCTGATAACCACGTGACTTTACCGAAAGGCAGCTTGCGTTGTGGCCGAAACGTCGTGAGAATTATTTTATTACGTTTTATTTTTATTATTTTATTATTTCCCTTCTACGTGACTTTACCTAAAAGAACCAAGAAGATTTACCAAAAGAACCAAAGAATATTTTTGTTGCTGTTGTGAAAAAAAAGAATGTTCACGTTCGTGTCCACGTTTTTACTTTTAATCGAATTACAGCAGGAACGTCAAATGGCAAAGAGGAGCGACTGTTAAGTGGCTGCCTTGTGAGTACGAAAGGGCCCCCCCTCCCACAGCGGTAGGTGCTCGAGACCGTGAGCGTGACGAGTGATGTGGATCAGGGCGAAGAGGAGGCCGCGATGTAGAATAGCCTCGAGGTGTGAGCGTGCGGGACACATCAGTTACTGGGGGGCCCGCACCTGACCAATTGCCGCACCCCCCTGAGCTGATAATGTGGTTATTACACCACTGATGATGTAGTTACTACGTCACTGATTATGTAGTTACTACGCCACTGATGCTCTAGTTACTACGTCACTGATGATGTAGTTACTACGTCGCTGATGATGAAGTAACGCCACTGATGCTCTAGTTACTACGTCACTGATAATGTAGCTACTACGCCACTGATGATGTAGTCACTACGCCACTGATGATGTAGCTACTACGCCACTGATGATGTAGTCACTATGCCACTGATGATGTAGCTACTACGTCACTGATGATGTAGCTACTACGCCACTGATGATGTAGTCACTACGCCACTGATGATGTAGCTACTACGCCACTGATGATGTAGTCACTACGCCACTGATGATGTAGCTACTACGCCACTGATGATGTAGTCACTATGCCACTGATGATGTAGCTACTACATCACTGATGATGTAGCTACTACGCCACTGATGATGTAGTCACTATGCCACTGATGATGTAGCTACTACGTCACTGATGATGTAGCTACTACGCCACTGATGATGTAGTCACTACGCCACTGATGATGTAGCTACTACGCCACTGATGATGTAGTTACTACGTCACTGATGATGTAGCTACTACGTCACTGATGATGTAGTCACTACGCCACTGATGATGTAGCTACTACGCCACTGATGATGTAGTCACTATGCCACTGATGATGTAGCTACTACATCACTGATGATGTAGCTACTACGCCACTGATGATGTAGTCACTATGCCACTGATGATGTAGTTACTACGTCACTGATAATGTAGTTACTACGCCACTGATGATGTAGTTACTACGTCACTGATGATGTAGTTACTACGTCACTGATGATGTAGTCACTACACCACTGATGATGTAGTTACTACGTCACTGATGATGTAGTTACTACGTCACTGCTGCTGTAGTTACTACGTCACTGATAATGTAATTACTACGTCATTGATGATGTAGTTACTACGTCACTGATAATGTAGTTACTACGTCACTGATGATGTAGTTACTACGTCACTGATGGTGTAGTTACTACGTCACTGATGTAGTTACTACGTCACGTATGATATTGTTACTATGTCATTGATAATGTAGTTAGCACACCACTAATGATGTAGTCACTACACCACTGATTATGTAGTTACTGCTCACTGATAATGTAGCTACTATACCACTGATGATGTAGTTACTACACCACTGATAATGTAGTTACTATACCACTGATGTAGTTACTACGTCACTGATGTAGTTACTATACCACTGATAATGTAGTTACTATACCACTGATAATGTAGTTACTACACTACTGATAATGTAGTTACTATACCACTGATAATGTAGTTACTACGCCACTGATAATGTAGTCACTACGCCACTGATAATGCAGTCACTACGCCACTGATGATGTAGTTACTACACCACTGATAATGTAGTTACTACGCCACTGAAAATGTAGTTACTACACTCACTGATAATGTAGTTACTACGCTACTGATAATGTAGTTACTACTCCACTAATAATGTAGTTACTACACTCACTGATAATATAGTTACTAAGCCACTGATAATGTAGTTACCACACCACTGATGATGTAGTTTCTACGTCATTGATAATGAAGTTACTACGTCACTGATGATGTAGTTACTACGTCACTGATGATGTAGTTACTATGTCACTGATAATGTAGTTACTACGTCACTGATGATGTAGTTACTACGCCACTGATGATATAGTTACTACGTCACTGCTGATGTAGTTACTACGTCACTGATGCTGTCATTACTACGTCACTGATGATGTAGTTACTACTTCACTGATGCTGTAGTTACTACGTCACTGATGCTGTAGTCATTACGTCACTGCTGCTCCCCAATCGCATCGAGGCGGTTGCACCCCTTGTGCCGATTGGTTTCCCACAAATGTGGGACCCAAGTGGCCGTCCTCGCCCGTGATGAAGAGCTTGGTAGCTTTTCGGATTCCTCCTGCAGTCTCAAATCAAGATTCTGATCCTGACACATTTCCCACTTGGTGGTGGCGATGATGACGACGATGAGCAACCAATTCGTTGACCGATAATTTCGTGATGGTCAGGTCAAGGGGGGCCTTACCTGGTCAATAAAAAATTGCTTCGCCTCCCCCCCCGCATGGGCTGGCCACTGCCCCCCCCACCCCCAACTCCCTTACACCCCCCCCCTCCTAAAATACCAACCACCCCACCCCCTCTCACCCACGCCCAACGATCTTGAGCAATTTGTGGCGCTCACGACTTTGTGACTTGGCTTGCTAATGCCTCGCGCTGCCAACTCCCCCCCCCCAATACCTCCCCCCCCGCTCCCCGCATCTCCCCCCCTCCCTCCCCCCCCCCGAGATGTCCCGGCTGCCCTAGCGGTGGCCCTGAGGGCGCCTCCCAGGGGGGCGATGTTCGGCGTCTGCCCGCGGGGCTCCGGGGCGAGGCGGCGTAGCGAACAGGAAACCCCGACCCCCTCCCCTTCATCCACGAGCACCCCCCCCCCCCACCACTACCACCCAACCCCCCCACCACCCACCCACCCACACCCGTCTCTCTCTCTCTCGCGAGCAGTGTGGGTGGTCTGAGTGGTGTGGGGGGAGAGGAGGGGGCGAGAGAGAGAGAGCGGTGGTGGGGGAGGCAGAGGCGTGGAGAGAGAGCGAGCGAGAAGAGATGGATGGTTGGAATGGCAGAGAGATGGAGACTGGGAGATGGACCGCGATGGAGTGAGACGCGAGGAGGGATGAGAGGAGGAGGAGGAGAGGGTAGAGGGAGCAGGCTGAGATGGGGGGAGGGAGAGACACAACGGAGGGTGGGAGATGAAATGAACGAAGCAAAGTGCCGACTACACCGAGCATCTTCTTGTTTCCTCTGATCGTGAAACAAAAATAAGGAGAGAGATGTAGTGACATGGAGATGGGGAGAGACGCAGAGAGAGATAGAGAGACGAGGGGGGGGGGAGATAGGGGAGAGAGAATGAGCCATGGAGATGAGGGTTGGGGGGCTGGACACAGAGAGCGAGGCGATGAGAGACAGAGAGACAGAGAGACAGAGGGACAGAGAGACAGAGAGACAGAGAGACAGAGGGACAGAGAGACAGACGGACAGAGAGACAGAGGACAGAGAGACAGAGAGACAGAGAGACAGAGGGACAGAGAGACAGAGAGACAGAGAGACAGAGGGACATAGAGACAGAGGGACAGAGAGACAGAGAGACAGAGAGACAGAGGGACAGAGAGACAGAGAGACAGAGAGACAGAGGGACAGAGAGACAGAGGGACAGAGAGACAGAGGGACAGAGAGACAGAGAGACAGAGAGACAGAGGGACAGAGAGACAGAGAGACAGAGAGACAGAGGGACAGAGGGACATAGAGACAGAGGGACAGAGAGACAGAGGGACAGAGAGACAGAGAGAGACAGAGACAGACAGAGACAGAGAGACAGAGAGACAGAGGGACAGAGAGAGAGAGACAGAGGGACAGAGAGACAGAGAGACAGAGGGACAAAGAGACAGAGGGACAGAGAGACAGAGGGACAGAGAGAGACAGAGACAGAGAGACAGAGAGACAGAGGGACAGAGAGAGACAGAGGGATGGACACACACGGAGATTGATAGAGTAGAGAAACACAAACGATCGAGGGATGAGGAGGGAGGGAGTGGGGGTGGTTGAGAAAGAGAAATGATTTCCTCGTGACCCCCCCCCCCCCCAGGGTTAGGGTTCGAGTCAGGGTGAGGGTGATGGTGTAGTCATGACCAAGGTTAGACAAACACGCATCTCTAACGGGAGGGTCGGAGGATCAGGCGACGCGAGCCGGAGATCAACAGCGTGGATATACCCCGGGGCGTCGAGACACGGGGAGAAGACGCGTGGAGAGAGAGAGATGTCGAGAGAGATTCTAGCGGTCTGGGTTCGACCCGGTGCAAGAGAGAGACAGAGCGAGACAGATGTTAAAGGAGAACGTGAGGATGTGCAGACTAGGAAGATCTAGGAGGGAGATGGAGGGAGAGAGGAGGAGGGAGGTTGAGAGAGGTGGGGGGGGGGGGAATGGAGAGAGATGGGGGGATGGAGAGAGATGGGGGGGAGGGAGATGGGGTGGGGGGGGATGGAGAGAGATGGAGGGAGATGAGGAAGATTGAGAGAAATGGGTGGGAGGGGGGGGGGGAGATGGAGGGAGATGGGGAGGAGGAGATGGAGAGAGGAGGAGGGAGATGGAGGGTAGATGGAGAGATGGGGGGGGGGGGAGATGGAGAGAGATGGAGAGAGATGCAGAGATCGATAGGAGCGTGGTGCTGGAGAGATAGAATAGGTGGTGGTGGTGGGGGGGGGGGGGGTGAATTGGACACAGAGAGAGAGAGAGTGCGAGAGAGTGTGAAGGGAGAGAGAGAGGGAGGAAGAAGAGGGAGGAGGGGAAGGAGGAGGAGGCGATGGGGAGAGCGCGGGTTCAGGGTAGAGTGAGAGAAGCGAGACGCGGGTCAGAGGTAAAAACTTGCGCCGAGTGCACGGAGCGTTCAGCTGTGCGGGCGGCGGGGGTGAACGCCTGTGCGAGTGTCACTGTGTGTGTGTCAGTGTGTGTGTGTCAGTGTGTGTGTGTCACTGTGTGTGTGTCAGTGTGTGTCAGTGTGTGTGTGTCAGTGTACGTGTCAGTGTGTGTGTGTTAGTGTATGTGTCAATGTGTGTGTGTCACTGTGTGTGTGTCACTGTGTGTGTGTGTCACTCTGTGTGTGTCAGTGTCTGTGTGTGTGTCACTGTGTGTGTGTGTCACTGTGTGTGTGTGTCAGTATGTGTATGTCAGTGTGTGTATGTCAGTGTGTGTGTCAGAGTGTGTGTGTGTCACTGTGTGTGTCAGTGTGTGTGTGTCAATGTGTGTGTGTCACTGTGTGTCAGTGTGTGTGTCATTGTGTGTCAGTGTGTGCGTCACTGTGTGTGTATCACTGTGTATCAGTGTGTGTGTTACTATGTGTGTGTGTCACTGTGTATCAGTATGTGTGTTACTATGTGTGTGTGTCACTGTGTGTGTCACTGTGTGTCAGTGTGTGCGTCACTGTGTGTGTGTCGCTGTGTATCAGTGTGTGTGTTACTATGTGTGTGTGTCACTGTGTGTGCGTGGTGCTGGCCACCCACCTCCTCGTGTGCCGTGCGGGCCTTCATAGGCGCTCGCTAACAGCACTTGCCCCAACAGTCTGTGCAGGCTATACGGGGGATCTTTGTCTTTGTCTTGTGTGTGTGGCAGAGAATTGGGAGCGGTAATGCGGCGCTACGAACCTCGGCAACCCGAGTTCGATTCCCTCTCACGGCCACCACCACCAGTGACGATTATCTTGAACCGGTTCTGGGCCTCCTCTAGGTCGACTCAGCCTCAAACGAGTACCTGGTGCGCCGTGTAAAAAAACACCGACTCGCTCCCGCCTCTTGCCCCGACAGTCCGCGAAGGCAACACACGAGATATCTCTGTTTTCATTCGTCGCTGTCTCGTTGTTAACTTTATAACAAATTATCCCCCGTTTTTCCCAGGGACTGCAGATTAACCCACGGCTCAACCCACCCACCCACCCCCCTACCCACCCACCCCCATAACTCATTCGGTGGCTCTGCTCTGCGTTCAACGGCGAACGCGGTCTGTCCTTCCACGTGGTCGTAAATAATTAGGGGCAAGAGCAAACGCGTTGCCACGCAAACGTGATAACTACTTGCTTTTTAAATCCTTTATATTAAGTTCACTTGCTTGCTTGCTTGCGCGCTTACGACCGTGCAAATCTTTCGGTCGTTTTTTAACCCACTTCCCGTGATCCAATCGAGCTGACATTTTGCACACAGACTCGTTGTGCGTGACAATTAATTTTCGTGAAAAAAATTCCAAAATTTTACACTTTTTAGGTAAAAAGAAATTATATTTAATTACCAATTGCTTAATGCTGCCAGACAATCATCTGACCCATAGGTGGCAGCCATCTCAAGCCAGAGGACGAGAGGACTCTAGCCGCCACGCATATAAAGGATTTATAGTGAAAAACTTTGTTTTTTACGGGTTAATTTTTTACGCATCTCATCAGCCACGGTTCCGATCTCTTGCAGCCCAGAGCGGCTTTGGCGCAGCTGATGAGCCACTGCGTGTTGAAGCCCGCTCCTGGGTTGCGCTTGCCCGCTGATGAGGATGCCCTCGTGAGAAGCCTCGTGGCGCGGCCGATGGGATGAGTACAAACATATATATATGTAAAATATATCTATATACCGTATGTTCTGGCGTTAGACAGACAAATATATATTGGCGCGTGTCTCCAGAATGACACTTTATTTTACAGGCAAAAATGTTTGTCTTTGTGCGCAAGTTTGCGTCTGTGCGTGTGTTGGTTGTATCTGTGGGGAGCGGTGGTGGAGCGGTTAGCGCTACGAACCTGGCGACCCGGGTTCGATTCCCGCTCATGGCCAACACCCAGTGACGATTACCTGAACCGGTCCTGGGCCTCTCCCTAGGTCGACTCAGCCTCAAATTAGTACCTGGTGAGGTGTAAAAAAATCGCCACTGGGGATACAAAGGCGGTCGGGCGTGATGCTGTCCACCCACCCGCTCGTGTGCCGTGTCGGCCCTTCATAGCTGCTCGCTAACAGCACTTGCCCCAACAGTCTGTCGCGTCTACCCGGGGGATCTTTGTTTCTGCTAGTTTCTGTGCGGCGGTGGTTGCGTAAGCATCTCAGCGAGGAAGACAAAGGCGGTTGGGCGTGTTGCTGGCCACGCACCCCAAAACACGTGCCGTGCCGGCCTTCATAGGCGGCGCCGTCAATCAGCAGTTCTAGATTTGAAGCTTTCGTGACTGCAAAGATTCATATTCTTAGGTTTTTTCGGTAAAGTCACGTAGGTAAAATTTTTTAATTTAAATTAATACAATTTCAATGAAAATAAAATAAAAATCACGACGTTTCGGAGGCAAACACAAGCTTCCGTCTTCAGGTGGAATCGTCACAGCACGATTGCTGTATCAAGTGAAGAGAAATTCTAGTATATATACAAGGTCGGGTCTCTTAGAATTCCTCTTTACTTGATACAGCAATCGTGCTGTGACGGTTCCACCTGAAGACGGAAGCTTATGTTGCCTCTGAAACGTCGTGATTTTTATTTTATTTTTATTTTATTTTACTTTTATTAATTAAAATTTGTTACCTACGTGACTTTACCGAAAAAACCCAAGAATATGTCAATCCGCAGGTTGGTGCTCACGCGAACGTCGTTTTGCATCTCGTCCGCGACCTACTTGCTCTGCTGCAGGGGTGGAGAACGTCCGGCACTTGGGCCGTACGAGGTCCGCGAAATCATTTGGTCTCTGGCCCTGCCAAGGCAACCGCAGGCGACACTCGAAATTCAAGAAATCTAGGAGCAAACCTGGAAAAGCAGTTGCGAGTAGCAGAAGCAGTTCCAGCCCATCGCATTAGGGGCGAGCGAATTAAATGTTTGACCGAATTGTAACGTTAAATTTCGATTTAAAGCTTTCGTGAATGCAGGGATTCATCTTCTTGGTTCTTTCAGTAAAGTCACGCAGAAGGGAAGTAATACAATAATAAAAATAAAACATAATAAAATAATTCTCACGACGTTTCGGCCACAACGCAAGCAGCCGTCCTCAGGTGATGTTTCATAGCTTGGTGGTGTTTCATTCTTCACCTGAGGATGGCTGCTTGCGTTGTGACCGAAACGTCGTGAGAATTATTTTATTATGTTTTATTTTTATTATTTTATTACTTCCCTTCTACGTGACTTTACCGAAAGAACCAAGAAGACGAATTGTAACGGGCTAATTTTTAAGTTGATCAGTTTGTGTATGGCCCGCGAATGATTTTCTAAATATCCAAATGGCACTTGGCAGGAAAAAATGTTCCCCGTCCTTGCTCTGCTGCATCGCCCGAAACGTCTCCCACGCCCACACCAGGCGGGTTTGAGCCCAAGAACGACACGGGCCGTTCACGATGACCGTGACCCTCCGGTTTTGCTCTGCCACTCGGTGGCGGGGAGGGCTTTAAACGATGATGATGATGATTATTATTGAGACAAAAAACGAACTTTCACCCCCCCCAACTCACCCACCCACTCACCCACTCCGCCGCACATCCCCCGTGTGATCTTACATCATCCCAAAGGCGACTCGAGAAACTCATTGTTATTGATTCTTCATTATTACAATAATAATCACAATATCTGTCTCGCCAACTGCCCTCCCCCCCTACCTCCCCGTCTCCCCCCTAGGTCGACTAGGCCCGAAATAATAATAATAATATGCAAGTAGTTGATGGTGCGGTGCGGAAATGACCGCAGCGCTGGGAGAGACAAAGGCGGCCGGGCATGGGGCTCAAACAGCACTTGCTCCACAAGCCTGTGAGAGACTACACGGGGGGTCTTTGTCTGTTGTGTGTGTGTGTGTCTCTGTCTGTGTGTGCGTGTATGCCTAGGTCAGCGTCCGGGCGTGGTGCTGACCACCCACCCACCCCCTCGTGTGCCGTTGCAGGCCTTCATAGGTGCTGCTCGCTAACAGCACTTGCCCCAACAGCCCGTTAGAGGCTACACGGGGGGTCTTTGTCTTTTGTGTGTGTGTGTCTCTGTCTGTGTGTGCGTGCCTAGGTCAACTCGGCCTTAAACGAGTGTCCTACCTGGTGGTGTGTTGCAGTAAACATCGCCACTGGGGAGACAAAGGCGGCCGGGCCTGGTGCTGACCACCCACCGGCCTTCACAGGTGCTGCTCGCTAACAGCACTTGCCCCGACAGCCCGTTAGAGGCTACACGGGGGATATTTGTCAGTGTGTATTGTGTGTAGATACATATATACATGAGTATTGTATTTGTGTGTATGCGTACATCTTACACATATGTATATGAGCGTGTACAGTTGTACGTACATCTATTTATTTTAATGTAAATCCACTGCTGCATGAAGACCAACCCCGCCAACGCCGTGCCGGTGATGGGAGGGCTGCCACTGATGTTAGCCGGGATGGGGAGGGCCAATTCGACCTCGGGTCACACCGGGGCCGTCGCGCCTTGCGTTCAACCACTGCGCCACCGCTCCACCACGTGCTTGGCGCGGTGTGTGAACATCGCCACCGGGGAGACAAAGGCGGCCGGGCGTGCGTGATGCTGATGGTGCTGGCCACCCAACCCCCCCTCCCCTCCTCGCATGCCGTGCCGGCCTTCGTAGGTGTTGCCCGCGGACAGTACTTGCCCCCAAAAGTCTGTTCAGGCTACACAGGGGACCTTTGTCTTGTGTGTGTGTGTGCGTCTGACATGTGTCTGGCCATGTGCACACAATGTGCGTTTGTGTTTTGTGTGCACACCATTTGTGTATTCGTGCCTTTATATTTTTGTGTACAACACATGTACGTTTGTGTCTTTGCCTTAGTTCAATATATGTATATACACATCAATGGTAATGTGTGTTTGTGTGCGGGTTTGTATGCGTGTGTTATGTACGCTATATCGATAGGCGAGCGGTGGCGCAGCGGTTAGCGCGATGCGCTACTGACCAGGCCCACCCGAGTTCGATTCCCGCTCACGGCCATCAACACCAACAGTGACGATTTATCTGAACCGGTCCTGGAACCTCCCACGGGTCGACCCGGGCTTTTATAAACGAGTCTGCGGCGTGGCGTGCGTACAAAGGTGATGACGTCAGCACCGGGGAGACAAAGGCGGCCGGGACATGGTTCTGGTCAGTCGTACAACTTGATGGACTCAAAATTGATTCTAGATTTGAAGCTTTCGTGACTGCAAGGATTCATATTCTTAGGTTTTTTCGGTAAAGTCACGTAGGTAAATTTTTTTTTTATTAATAAAATAAAAATAAAATAAAAATCACGACGTTTCGGAGGCAACACAAGCTTCCGTCTTCAGGTGGAACCGTCACAGCACGATAGCTGTATCAAGTGAGAGGATAGCTGTATCTCACTTGGTGCAGCTATCGTGCTGTGACGGTTCCACCTGAAGACGGAAGCTTGTGTTGCCTCCGAAACGTCGTGATTTTTATTTTATTTTACTTTTATTAATTTAAATTTTTTACCTAGGTGACTTTACCGAAAAAACCTAAGAATATGAATCCTTGCAGTCACGAAAGCTTCAAATCTAGAATTAATGCCCCTCTACGGGGAGGAATTCCACCTATCTGTTAGAGTTTTTAACAGACAACGAGACAAGAAGTCACAGCTTCTCGAGACGCTGGCCTTCCTAAAGAGATGCCTACTTGATACAGCTATCGTGCTGTGACGGTTCCACCTGAAGACGGAAGCTTGTGTTGCCTCCGAAACGTCGTAATTTTTATTTTTATTTTATCAATTAAAAAAAAAATTACCGACGTGACTTTACCGAAAAAACCCAAGAAAACTCAAAATTGTTGCCAGGATGGAGCTATCCCGGACCCTCGAGTTAAGAGACACGGTGGAGGCTTTCCTGAACGGGCAGCTGGAATAAACGGATGAATTACTAATAGTTAAAGTATTTTGTTTTATTTTCTTGGTTCTTTCGGTTAAAGTCACGTAGAAGGGAAATAATAAAATAATAAAAATAAAATATACTAAAATAATTCTCACGACGTTTCGGCCACAACGCAAGCAGCCGTCCTCAGATGAAGAACAGGTCTGTCAGAAAGACAGCGTCTGAATGAGACTGAATGAGCATCTGAATAAGCCAGACGCTGTCTTTCCGACAGACCTGTTCTTCACCTGAGGACGGCTGCTTGCGTTGTGACCGAAACGTCGTGAGAATTATTTTATTATGTTTTATTTTTATTATTTTATTATTTCCCTTCTACGTGACTTTACCGAATAAACCAAGAATATGAATCCCTGCAGTCACGAAAGCTTTAAATCGATATTTTGTTTTACTATATATTTTTATTTTCCAAAGTAAGGCCCAATGAGCTACACGGCGGCTGTTACAAATGAAAGCTCAACGAAGTGGGCTCTTATATATATCGCGTAGGAATGCACAGAAGACAAATACTCTAATACGCGTGATCTTCATTCTGAACGTGGAGGGGAAAAAAACCGGAGGACCCGAAGAAAACCCCACGGCACCACGAGGAGAGAGAGCGAGAGAGAGACACCGCAAACTCCAAATATACAGCAGGCGTGTCAGGGTCGGGATCGAACCAGTGCCGGATGAAAATAGTGCGGGGCCTGTAGTAAATGTTATTAAGGGGCCCTAAATGTAAAAGAAAAACGTAAATATTAAAACACACACATTTTTTACTTGCATAGTAAAGTCATTAATTGTACTTTTTAAATCCTTTATATTAAGTTCGCTTGCTTGCTTGCTTGCGTGCTTGCGTGCTTGCTTGCTTGCTTAGGACCGTGCAAATCTTTCGGTCGTTTTTAAACCCACTTCCCGTGATCCAATCGAGCTGACATTTTGCACACATACTCGTTGTGCCAGACAATTATTGTTCGTGAAAAAAAATTCCCAAAATTTTACACTTTTTAGGCAAAAAAAAATTATTTTACATATATTCAAATAGAACGCATTCATGGCTTTGGCTGAACGTCACAGTGTAAGAGCCCAGAGCGTAACCCCTCCACAGGCCGTGGCGGAGTAGCGCAGTTGGTAGCGCCCTCGCTTCCCATGCCAAAGGTCGCGGGATCGATCCCCGCGTCCTCCACAGGCGAATATATTTTGAAATCCTTTATATTAAGTTCGCTTGCTTGCTTAGGACCGTGCAAATCTTTCGCTCGTTTTTAACCCACTTCCCGTGATCCAATCGAGCTGACATTTTCCACAAAGACTCGTTGTGTGTGACAATTAATTTTCGTGTAAAAAAAATAAAATTTTTTACACTATTTAGGGAAAACAAATTAAATATTTAATTACCAATTGCTTAATGGTGGCAGACAATCATCTGACCCATAGGTGGCAGCCATCTCAAGCCAGAGGACGAGAGGACTCTAGCCGCCACGCATATAAAGGATTTATAGTGAAAAACTTTGTTTTTACGGGTTTACTTGTTAATTTGCTATACAGCCCGAAAATACGACAAATCGCTAACTTTAAACACCCAATCGTTCGTAAAAGTCGAAGGCGGTATAGTACTATAGTAATAGAGCAAGTGCAGAATCACTGAACCGGAATTGAGAGCATGAAAGCATTTCGCGCGGGGCCCTTGAAAGTGCGGGGCCCGTAGCTACTACATATGCAGCTACTTGTGCTACTGGGATAATCGAATCGAACCCACCACCTCCTATTCGAAACGACCCCTTTCTTTGTGCCGATATGTGTCCTCTCTCTGTGTGTCCTTGTGATGTCTGTCTGCTGGTATGTCTGTCTATAGTTTTCTAGTTAGATTGTTGTTGCTATTTCTTTTATGCCTGATGATGATTGCTTGTGTTGCAATCGAAACGTCGTAATATGCTTTTATTTTAATTTTTTATTTTATCTTTAGACGTGACTTAACCGAAAGAACCAAAGAATAATTCCTGCAGTCACGAAAGCTCCAAAATTAAGATTCCACCACCTCCTCCATACCAGGCGAGGGAGTTAACATCCCTCAATCGTGGCGCTAACAAATGATTCGGTGATGCTGCTGCTGCTGCTGCTGCTGCAGCTGCTTAGTTGACAGTGGTGCACAGGCACAGCCAACATCAACGAAAATTACGAGTTCAGCACGCCGGCGTGTTGGAGAGAAAACATTTACAATCGGAGTACGACGTTTCGCCGGCAATTACCACCAGCCTAATCAGGCGGCAGGCAGAATCGATTGGCACGTTTTGTTTACGTGAGTCGCGTTAGTAATTGGTTGTGTCGTGGTGGTGGTGGTGTTCGTGGTGGTGGTGGTCGTGGTGGTGGTCGTGGTGGTGGTGGTGGTCGTGGTGGTGGTGGTGGTGGTCGTGGTGGTGGTGGTCGTGGTGGTCGTGGTGGTCGTGGTGGTGGTGGTGGTGGTCGTGGTGGTGGTGGTCGTGGTGGTGGTGGTCGTGGTGGTGGTCGTGGTGGTGGTGGTCGTGGTGGTGGTGGTGGTAGTGGTGGTGGTCGTGGTGGTGGTCGTGGTGGTCGTGGTGGTGGTGGTCGTGGTGGTGGTGGTCGTGGTGGTGGTGGTCGTGGTGGTGGTGGTCGTGGTGGTGGTGGTGGTGGTGGTCGGGGTGGTGGTGACGTGTTTAACGACACATTTATATATTTGACGCGATCCCAACCCCAAAAAACCCACAATCTCTTCTGTGGATGATTTTGGTCGCGAAAGCGCCACCGCTACTGCCACGTGTTAAACTTGTTATTGATGAAAACTCGCCGACAACCCGGCCCCGACTGCCAGGGCCGTTAACTTAGGGGGTACGGGCGACTGCCCCGGGCCCCGTACTTTGGGGGGGGGGGCCTGCCTATTGGACATCTGTGAAAAACGAAATCTAAACTACCATTATTTTATTTTTATTTCAGAATGCGACATGGCTTTCAACAAATGATAGCTCAAACAAAGTGAGCTGATATTATAATCACGTGCATATGTATAGCAGCAGCAGCAGCAGCCAAAGACTCTAAACGCCGTGATGGTGATTCGAAATGTGGTGGGAAAAAAACCCGAAGGACCCGGAGAAAAATCCACGCGGCCACGGGGACAAAGAGAGAGAGAGAGACACGCAAACTTAAAATATACAGCAGCAGCAGGCGTCTTCAGGGTCGGGATCGAAGCCACGACCTCCTGCATACCAGGCGAGGTAGTTAACATCTCCTAGCCACCGTGATGATGATGAGACAGAGACTCAAACTCCAAATACACATATTCTTTGGGTCTTTCGCTAAAGCCACGTGAATTCCTGCAGTCACGAAAGCTTTTAGTCAAGCTGCAAATATATAGCAGCAGGCGTCAGGGTCGGGATCGAGCCCATGACCTCCTGTACACCAGGCGAGGTAGTTAACATCTCCTAGCCACCGTGATGATGATGATGAGAGACGCAAACTCCAAATATACAGCAGCAGGCGGCAGGGTCAGGATCAAACCCACGATCTCTTGTACACCAGGCGAGGTAGTTAACATCTCCTAGCCACCGTGATGATGATGAGAGAGACGCAAACTCCAAATATACAGCAGCAGGCGTCAGGGTCGGGATCAAGCCCACGACCTCCTGTGTACCAGGCGAGGTAGTTAATATCTCCTAGCCACCGTGATGATGATGAGAGAGACGCAACTCCAAATATACAGCAGCAGGCGTCAGGGTCGGGATCGATCCCACGACCTCCTGTACACCAGGCGAGGTAGTTAACATCTCCTAGCCACCGTGATGATGATGGTGAGAGACGCAAACTCCAAATATACAGCAGCAGGCGTCAGTGTCGGGATCGAGCCCACGACCTCCTGTACACCAGGCGAGGTAGTTAACATCTCCTAGCCACCGTGATGATGATGAGACAGAGACTCAAACTCCAAATACAGATATTCTTTGCGTCTTTCGTTAAAGCCACGTGAATTCCTGCAGTCACGAAAGCTTTAAGTCAAGCTCCAAATATACAGCAGCAGGCGTCATGGTCGGGATCGAGCCCATGACCTCTTGTACACCAGGCGAGGTAGTTAACATCTCCTAGCCACCGTGATGATGATGATGAGAGACGCAAACTCCAAATATACAGCAACAGGCGTCAGGGTCGGGATCGAGCTCATGACCTCCTGTACACCAGGCGAGGTAGTTACCATCTCCTAGCCACCGTGATGATGAGAGAGAGACACGCAAACTACAAATATACAGCAGCAGCAGGCGTCATGGTCAGGATCGAGCCCACGACCTCCTGTACACCAGGCGAGGTAGTTAACATCTCCTAGCCACCGTGATGATGAGAGAGAGACACGCAAACTCCAAATATACAGCAGCAGCAGGCGTCATGGTCAGGATCGAGCCCATGACCTCTTGTACACCAGGCGAGGTAGTTAACATCTCCTAGCCACCGTGGTACTCCCTCCCCTCTCCCCCCCTCCCCAAAAAAGCTTCATAGCTCATCAGATTCCACCTCCACTCTCAAAATCAAGATTCTGATCTAAACATCCGATAGAAATCAAGAGACGAATATTCCGAGGGGGTGACACAATGGCCCACACACGGGTGGTGATGGCTGTGATGATGATGGTGATGATGGTGGAATACCCGCAGCGCTGGCTGTACAAACGACCACCAACGCTTCGCGATTGTGCGCCAAAGTCCGATGGGGGTGGGGTGGGGGCTGTGGCGATGGCATCACCAGGCGGGGAGAGCGAGAAAACGTCGCCACACCTGGCGGCCAGACCGCGGCGAGAGGAACCTTCTAGCCAAAAACAAGACGGACGGCGCATGTGGTGTGTGTGTAGAGGTGTGTGTGTGTAGAGGTGTGTGTGTGTGTAGAGGTGTGTGTGTGTAGAGGTGTGTGTGTGTAGAGAGTGTGTGTGTAGAGGTGTGTGTGTGTGTAGAGGTGTGTGTGTGTAGAGGTGTGTGTGTGTGTTGAGGTTTGTGTGTTTGTAGAGGTGTGTGTGTGTGTAGAGGTGTGTGTGTAGAGGGGTGTGTGTGTAGAGGTGTGTGTGTAGAGGTGTGTGTGTTTGTAGAGGTGTGTTTGTGTGTAGAGGTGTGTGTGTAGATGTGTGTGTGTGTAGAGGTGTGTGTGTGTGTGTGCAGAGGTGTGTGTGTGTAGAGGTGTGTGTGTAGAGGTGTGTGTGTTTGTAGAGGTGTGTGTGTAGATGTGTGTGTGTGTAGAGGTGTCTGTGTAGAGGTGTGTGTGTGTAGAGGTGTGTGTGTGTAGAGGTGGTGTAGCGGTTAGCGCGCTGCGCTATGAACCTGGCGACCCGGGTTCGATTCCCGCTCACGGCTAACACCAGTGACGATGATCTGAACCGGTCCTGGGCCTCCCCTAGGTCGACTCAGCCTTAAATGAGTACCTGGTGCGGTGTGTGAACATCGCCACTGGGGAGACAAAGGCGGTCGGACGTGGTGCTGGCCCACCCACCCCCTCGTTTACCGTTCCGGCCTTCATAGGTGCTCGCTAACAGCACTTGCCCCTACAGTCTGTTAAGGCTATACGGGGGATCTTTATCTTTGTGTGTAGAGGTGTGTGTGTGTAGAGGTTTGTGTGTGTAGAGCGGTAGTGTATAAAAGTTCACGCTACGGACGAAACCGCAGTAGACTCGTCTTAAGTAAAATACAAATGAAGGTGTTATGAAATGTTTGCGGGCGCGTTGCGTGTACGGCTATAAAGGTTATTGACGACAGCGTTGAGGTTTTGTTGTTGCTGTTTTCATTGTTAAGCGGCAGCAGCAGCATCATCGCCACAACCATTTATTTATGTCTCTAAAACAATATCGCCATCACGCGCGTATGTCTAGTGTGTTTGTGTGTCTGTGTTTGCGTGTCTGTGTTTGCGTGTCTGTGTTTGTGTCTGTGTGTCTAAGTTTGAGTGTCTGTGTGTCTATGTCTGTGTGTCTATGTTTGTGTGTCTATGTGCCTACGTTTGTGTGTCTGGGTTTGTGGCTGAGATTCTTTGTTTATGTGTCTGTCTGTCTGTGTGTCTATGTTTGTCTGCGTTTGCGTGTCTATGTCTGTGTGTCTATGTCTGTCTGTGTTTGCGTGCCTGTGTCTGTGTGTCTATGTCTGTCTGTGTTTGCGTGTCTATGTTTGTGTGTCTATCTACGTGCGGCTTCCATGGGTGGTCGCTAACAGTACTTGCCCCAAAAGTCTGCGACGGCTACAGGGGGGATCTTTGTAGTTGTGTCTACGCGTGTCTGTAGAGCGCACACACACACAGCCGAGTGGTCAGCGCGCTGCGCTAACAAAACCGGCGACCCGAGTTCACCGGTGACGATTATCCGAGCCGGTCCGGGCCTCCCCTAGGTCGACTCAGCCTCAAATGGGTACCTGGTGCGATGTGTAAACATCGCCACTGGGGGAGACAAAGGCGGCCGGGCGTGGTGCTGGCCCACCCACCCACTCTCCCTTCGTGTTCCGTGCGGGCCTTCATAGGTGCCACTCGCTGACAGCACTTGCCCCAACAGTCTGCTGAAGGCTACACGGGGGACCACTGCCTTTGTACAACAACAACAAGAAGCCGTCTGTTGGACGGTATGAGTCAGACAGCGTCACTGCGCAGCCTTTCCGCGGTTAGTCCGACGGTTTTTTTTCTTCTCCCCCCCCCCTCCAGGAATTCAATTCGCGTGCAACCGTGAGCGCACGCGATTCGACCGGCCCGATGAGCCCCAACACGGATGAAACCCGTCCACAGTTCGTCGCTCCGCGTGCCTCACCGATGATGACGCAGACGACGATTGACCGCTGATGCCGCTGATGCCGCTGGTGCGAGCCACCGGGCAGGGAGGGAGGGAGGAGGGGGGCGGGGAGCTTTATAATTCCCCTCCAATTTGTTTCCGATGGTCACCGGACGCGACATAGAAACGGCGATGTCGTTCCCAGTGAGCTCCTCTGACCGGGGCAGGGGGTGGGGGGGGGTGAGGAGGTCTCTGCTGCCCCCCCTACCCCCCCGTGCGTCACGGCCACCTCGTGTTGCCCGCGTGGGCCTCTGCGAGTCGTGGCCCAAAGGTGGCCACCACGGCGGGGGAATGTGCTCGGAGGGGCTCTCTCGTCCCGCGAACCAGCAGTGGAGCGAACATGTCGCATCGGCATCGCCGCCAGCGTCCGTCACCCGTCGTCACCGTCGTCATCGTCCTCACCGTCGTCATCATCGTCACCGTCGTCATCATCACCACCGTCATCGCCGTCGTCATCGTCATCATCGTCACCATCGTCATCACCACCGTCGTCGTCATCGTCGTCACCGTCGTCATCATCGTCACCATCGTCTACATCATCATCATCGTCATCGTCGTCATCATCGTCATCATCGTCACCATCGTCTACATCATCACCATCGTCATCACCACCACCGTCGTCATCATCGTCGTTGTCACCGTCGTCACCATCGTCGTCATCAAGGGCAGCTGCAGGCGCGTGCACGCGGTCACGCGGTCAGCCATCTGTAAACCGGGGGGGGGGGGGGGTGGAGGGGGCGGGTGTGATTGAGATCGATGTCCAGGTCACAGGTCAATTGCCGAGGTCAATTGATTGATGTAGAGAAACCATTCCCATAAAATCGAGCAGCGCCGCGCGGCACTCTGGGCCGTGGCGCAGCGGTCAGTGCTGCGCTACGAACCTGGCGACCCGAGTTCGATTCCCGCTCACGGCCAACACCGGTGACGATTATCTGAACCGGTCCTGGGCCTCCCCTAGGTCGACTCGGCCTTAAAGGAGCACTTGGTGCGGTGTGTAAACATCGCTACCGAGGAGACAAAGGCGGCCCGGCGTGGTGCTGGCCATCCACCCCATTCGCTTTCCTTGATAGGTGCTACTCGCTGACAGCACTTGCCCCAACAGTCTGGCAAGGCTATACGGGGGAGCTTTGTCTTTAGTGGTGCAGCGGTTATCGCGCTGCGCTACGAATCCCGGCGATTCCTGCTCACGGCCATCAACACCGGAGCCGATGATCTCACGAACCGGTCCCGGGCCTTGCCCTAGGTCGACTCAGCCTCAAATGTAGTACCCGGTGCGGTGCGTAGTAAACATCGTCACTCGGGAGACAAAGGCGGCCGGGCGTGGTTGCTGGCCCACTCACCCCTCGTGTGCCGTGCCGGCCTTCATAGGTGCCGCAAGCTCACAGCACTTGCCCCAACAGTCTGTTAAGGCTACACCGGGGGACCTTTGTGGAGGCCTCCACTCCCTGCCCCCCCCCCCTCCTTGCCCCCCCCCCGCCCCCCTTTTTTTCCCTTCCTCCGACAGAGGAGCGAGCAGCCCATTGCAGGGGCTGCGAGCAGTGGAAATTGCCGGAGCTGCGCCTTGAACCACTATCCTCTAGGCACACGTGGAGACAAAGGCGATGGGGTGGAAGGGGTGGTATTTTGGGTGCCGGGCGCCGTGGGTGAGCTGTAGGAAATTGCAGGGTCTGCGCCTTCAGCCACTATCCTCTCGGCACACGTGGAGACAAAGGCGATGGGGTGGAAGGGGTGGTATTTTGGGTGCCGGGCGCCGTGGGTGAGCTGTAGGAAATTGCAGGGTCTGCGCCTTCAGCCACTATCCTCTCGGCACACGTGGAGACAAAGGCGATGGGGTGGAAGGGGTGGTATTTTGGGTGCCGGGCGCCGTGGGTGAGCTGTAGGAAATTGCAGGGTCTGCGCCTTCAGCCACTATCCTCTCGGCACACGTGGAGACAAAGGCGATGGGGTGGAAGGGGTGGTATTTTGGGTGCCGGGCGCCGTGAGTGAGCAGTGGAAATTGCCGCACAGAGGACGCTGTTTGAAGGAATATTTACAGGAAGGGGAGACAGCCACGCGTTTCGCTGTGCCCGCCTATAAACACACCAGAGGCAAAGATCACCCGTGTAGCCTTGGCAGTGCTGTCGGGGCAAGTCGCTGTTCGCGAGTAGCAGCAACAGCAGCAGCACAGATGGAATTGGCTTGCACGTTGGGCGAGAGGGAGGGGTGGCCAGTAAAACGGCCGGCCGCCTTTGTCTCCCCAGTGCTGATGTTTGTACATGATCGCACCGGGTACTCAAGATTGAGTTTAATCTAGAGGTGGCTAAGTGATGTTGACTACCTCGCATGGTATGCAGGAGGTCGTGCGTTCGATCCTGACCCTGTCGCCTGCTGCTGTATATTTGGAGTTTGAGTCTCTCACTCATCATCACGGTGGCTATGATATGTTAACTACCTCGCCTGATATACAGGAGGTCGTGCGTTCGATCCCGACCCTGTCGCCTTCTGTATATTTGGAGTTTGAGTCTCTCTCATCATCACGGTGGCTAGGAGATGTTAACCACCTCGCCGGGTCTACAGGAGGTCGTGGCGTTCGATCCCGACCCTGTCGCCTGCTGTACATTTGGAGTTTGCGTGTCTCTCTCTATAATCATCATCACGGTGGCTAGGGGATGTTGACTACCTCGCCTGGTATACAGGAGGTCGTGGGTTCGATCCCGGCCCTGATGCCTGCTGTACATTTGGAGTTTGCGTGTCTCTCTCTCATCATCATCACGGTGGCTAGGAGATGTTGACTACCTCGCCTGGTGTGCAGGAGGTCGTGGGTTCGATCCCGACCCTGTCGCCTGCTGCTGTATATTTAGAGTTTGCGTGCTTCTCTCTCTCTTCCCGTGGATTTTTCTCCGGGTCCTCCTGTTTCCCCATCCACATTCAGAGCCAACGTCACGCGTTCAGAAGTGTCTGTCTGCTCTACACGTCCACGTGGCGACGATGAGCCGCTTTGTTGGGAGCTTTCATTTGTGGCCAGGTCGCTGTCTGAAAAAAAGATTCGTATCATTCAGCGGGGCCTTACCTGGAAAATTAAAAGTTTCGTTTTAAACTTCAAGAATCGTTGTTCAGATATTCGATGTCCATGTGATCTTGGTCGTGGGCTATCATTTGTGGCCAGGTCGCTGTCTGAAAAAAAGATCAGTATCGCTCAGTGAGTGGGGCCTTACCTGGCAAAACAAAGTTTAGTTTTAGTTTTAAACTTCAAGGATCGAGTGCAGATATTTGCTGTCCATGTGATCGTGGTCGTGGGCTATCATTTTTGACCAGGTCGCTGTCTAAAAAAAAGATCCGTATCACTCAGTGGGGCCTTACCTGACAAAATAAAGTTTCGTTCTAAACTTCAAGGATCGTTAAATTTTGATTTAAAGCTTTCGTGACTGCAGGGATTCATCTTCTTGGTTTTTCGGTAAAGTCACGTAGAATGGAAATAATAAAATAATAAAAATAAAACATTAAATAATTCTCACGACGTTTCGTTACGAAGACGACTGCTTGCGTTGTGGCCGAAACGTCGTGAGAGTTATTTTATTATGTTTTATTTTTATTATTTCTCATTATTTTATTATGTTTTATTTTTATTATTTTATTATTTTTATTTTTATTAATTCTCATTATTTTATTATGTTTTATTTTTATTATTTTATTATTTCCATTCTACGTGACTTTACCGAAAGAACCAAGAAGATTCAAGGATCGTTGTTCAGATATTCGCTGTCCATGTTATCGTGGTCGTGGGCGGGAATCGAACTCGGGTTTTGCCGGGTTGGTGGCACAGGCGCGCTAATCATTGCGCCACCGCTCCTGCAAGTTCGTGACACAGCACCAAACGCATAAGTTCTCTGTTGGGCAGTACAGAGTGTGAGTGCACGTGCTGTTAGCGAGCACCTATTAAGGCCGGCACGGCACACGAGGAGGTGGGTGGCCAGCACCACGCACACACAGTGACACACACACAGTGACACACACACATACAGTGACACACATACTCTGACACACACACTGACACACACACAGTGACACACAATGACACACACACAGTGACACACATACACACAGTGACACATACAGTGACACACACACTCTGACACACACACTGACACACACACAGTGACACAGTGACACACAGTGACACACACACAGTGACACACACACATACAGTGACACACATACTCTGACACACACACTGACACACACACAGTGACACACAGTGACACACACACAGTGACACACATACACAGTGACACATACAGTGACACACACACTCTGACACACACACTGACACACACACAGTGACACAGTGACACACAGTGACACACACACAGTGACACACACAGTGAAACACAACAACAACAACCGCCATTCGCGACTAAGTGGCGGTGACGTCACCACGACGCTTGTGCCAGGCCAAGTGCACCTTGAGGCCACGTGAAGTGTCGAACCCCCGCTGGCAGGAGGTCACGGGGCAGACCCAGGTGCAACGGGTCGACTGACCGAGATGACCAAGATGACTGACACAGCACCAAACGCACACGTTCTCTGTTCGGCAGTACAGAGTGTGAGTGCACGTGCTGTTAGCGAGCACCTATTAAGGCGGCATGACGCGCCCTCAGCGCTTTGTGACGCAATGTAACGGTCAGCTGACCACTCATTAGTAGGTGAGCAAATACTTTAAAAATGTAGATTATAACGGTGCATTATACAGTATGATACGATGTTTTTAACCTGTAAACATTACACGATAAGACTGGTATCAATATGTGTGTAATGCGCGCATGTGTGTGTACTGGTGTGTGTACAGTGTGTGTGTGTGTGTACTGGTGTGAGTGTACATAGTGTGTGTGTGTGTGTACTGGTGTGTGTGTGTGTACTGATGTGTGTACATAGTGTGTGTGTGTACTGGTGTGTGTGTGTGTGTACTGGTGTGTGTGTGTGTGTACTGATGTGTGTACTGGT